CAGAGTCAGGAATAAGAGAATGGGTCCAAGATTCTGTTACTCATATAATATTAGACGTCATTTCAAGAGCAATGGCTCTGATTTGGGCCATCTTGTTTATAACAGACCGGGCATTCAATAATATAATATCTAATGTGTCTCAAACGGCAATGCTATTGTCGACGGTATTTTAGAAAAATTAAGAGGCGGATATTTAAGCTGCGAATTAATGATGTTTGGAGAATAAGTACCAGTTAATCTAGAGTTATTGACGTACGGGAAGTCAATAGGAGAAGGCTGAGTATGAGATCTAAATGATGTGGGGATATAGTTCTCGAACACTGGAATGCTAAGGGAGTTAGAACATGGATAGGTTTGTTGGTAGTTAAATTGTGGAGGAAGGGGAGGAGGAGGGAGTCTAGAATGAAAGCAGAGGCTAGTGGGGAGGTTAAGCAGCTATAATAATGAAAGTGTGGGAAATCAGGTCTGGGTTGGAATTAAATGGAGGTAGGTTGACGTGCCTGAGAGCATTTGGCCTTAGGTGGTGGGAAGCCTGAACTAGGTTGGGGCATAAATGACTTCATGCAATTCATGTATGAATTATTTGCTGGATATATAGTAGGGCAATGATAAGTAGCCGGCACGCAGGAGAGAGAATTATTTGGGGATATAATTAAAGCTGTGGGGTTTTTAGACGTGCTGGGTTGAAAAGACTTGGCGGCGTACCCCTAAATGGAACTGTACTACCTATACTTTGGGTCCGAGTCTGATTCAGTTTTGGAGTCTCAACGTTCTGACGCCCAGCCACGGGTGACTTAACTGTAGACCTTACAACACCCAGTTGGACAACAGAAGTTATCTGTCTAGCTGATGTAGACGGATTTTCATGTGTCTCAGCGGGGCTATCCGGAAGATACAAAACGAGAAATGCTGCTGTTGCTGCTGCTGCTGCAAGTTTAGGGGCAGGCAAATGCGTAAAGTGGCTTGAGTGAGGTGGAGATGTAGGGGTAAGGAGAAGGAGGGAGTCAGATGTCGCAGGAGTAGAACAGGCTGAATCCTCACGGCCACCTGTATAATGACCGAGTTGGTGAGCATTAGACTGAGAAGCAGTGGGTTTACGTGAGAAGCGAGCCCCGATTCTACGCTCTATAAGAGTAAGATCCTGACAATGGAAAATTTTGCATTTTCCGGGTACGGAGTGACAAGATCGCCATGGGCAAAGATTGTGTCAACCTCGATTGATGAAAATAATTTGACTAAGATGGGTGGATTTTTGCTACGGAGGACAAGCGTATAGCATCGGCTATTTTGTAGTTGAAACCACATGAATACAGGAAATTGGTCGCAGCATCAATTGGCCAAACAGATCGAGGAACATTTTATAACAGAAAGTTGTAAGAACGCTTTTGTTATCACTAGATTCACTGGCGATCAGGTAAACAAGTGAGTCGAAACGCCTACATTCTTCAGAGGGAATATCGGAGATGCTCCCGTCAAATAAATTTCCAAGAATTGACAGCAGAGTGCCAAACTTTAGCCTAAAGTAATTGCAGTTGTCAATAGCAGACACATTAAACTGCCGACCAATTACAACGGGTGACGACTGACTAGTAATACCATCTGACTTGGATTTAGGTAAGTTTTCTGACTTAGATTTAGTTAAGCCATGCTTACTTACAGAGGCCGAGAGCTTACGCCTAACTGTGAATTTGGCTCTCATCTTGTCTCGAGGCATGTTGTGATCAAGAAAACTTCTGGCAGACAAGGTGGCTGAATTTCAGCTAGGGGTTAACAATGTAAAAATAAATTACACATTTAGAGGGAAATCTAATGCACAGAATGAGATTTGCAGAGTACGACTGCTGAACAACAGGCATAGATGAGCAGAACGCAAAAAGATGATGGCAACAAACTGTTCTGAATGCATAGTCCTGTATTTAAGGAAATTTAACCAAAAAACAGGGGCTAAAATCGTTAGGTCTCAAAGAAAAACCACTTAAAACAATATCCTCCACTTATCTTCAAATTTAAAACCCACAACAGTGCGGCCACCGGGAGTTTAGAACGCCGCCATTAGATATCCGTATACGCTCATATTTCCCTCTTTTTTGTAGTATCGCTTCTTAGGATCCCTCATCAGAAATGTTACTTTTTCGATTTTTCAATTCATGCATCATGCCCCGCACCGACTGTGCTCTATCGACGCTTTGGTGGAACCCTGTGTATTCGCCGTATACTGGTAGTCTGGTCGCATCTCCCTTGCCACCTCCGCAACTTGACTGGGCTGACTGCAACCGATCGCATAAGGGCTCTTAACGCCCCGAAACTGGTTTTCTATTCGCCACTTTGACATGAATGGCCTCGTCCGGCATATGAATCCTGCCTTGATGATGCACGTTTCGAATCTTTACACAATACCACATACAGGCCAGTCCCGCCTGACCCGTCTACTTTCCCCTTCATAAAATCCGCTATACATTTTCACATACAGGCCGGACCTGCCTGCCTTTTATACATTCAGGTGCGAGAGTTTTTTCTCCTACAGTGTTAATTCAGCCATACTAATTTTCTTTAAATGTCCGAAGTTTTTTTTACTGATCGCTCATCATTTTTTGTAACGTACCACTTATTCAGTAAATGTATATTAGGTATTGTATAGATTCTGTATACCTGTTCTAAAATTCTAAAATTAATGTAAAAGTTACCCTTGCTTACCATGAACGGACTCCCAGGGGTCCTGAACAAAATTTATTATTATTATTATTGCATTATATGTTATGCAAGTAGGTTTGTTGACTCAATATGAATTTTAATCTCACAGTTAGCGTCTCAAGTGCAGTTAAACTTTTCTATGCTGTTTTATACCCATCAATGAAAGCAGTCATGAAGCGCGTATGTTACGGTTTTAATCAGAGCACAATTTACAAGCGGATTGCGCGTGATAAGAAGGTATATTATGCGCGGATGCCTGATCCCTCGGTTCCCTCTATGGCGTCGGTGGTAGATCAACCACCGGAACCAGAAATGTCCGAAATAGTCCCAGAAGTTTATACTGCCTAAATGTGTTCACTTTCAAGGAGTCCCCACCGATGACTTCCCATTTCCACAACTTTCCCTTCCGAAGCACGCATAAGTTGACTAAGACTGATACTAACACACTTAATGCTATTTATCCCTTTGCAATAGTTATGAAAGTAATATGTATAAATATTATTTTAATAATTATTACAAAGTTCAATGAGGTCTGACATTTGCAGAAATATTAAATCCGCCTATATATCTCTAGAGTTTGAAAAGTGAGACACAGCTCACTTTACTCGGATCTTTTTGACCGGTTTCGGGTCTGAGTCGGACAGGTATTTCAGTGCGACCAGTGTCGCGCCCGTCCTGGTTGACCGCGTAGATAATTATCCTTTCTAATTACTTCGTGTTGTCACTGTCTCCAGACAAGTTGTTCGTTAAGCCGAATAGAAACAAATAAATTAATTTGGCGGCGGACATCCGGGCTTCCCTACATTAACCCAGAAATTGTTGGCCGAGGCGATGATTACATGTTAGGGTGGGTAAAAAGACGCCTAGGCGCCTTTCCACAGACAGCTCAATCAACAAATACACCAATTAGCCTGCCACCCAATTTGGTTTTGTGAATTTTCTTCGCACGGGTCAGTGATGACGTGAGACGATTGGGGCCGCCAATTATCTCCGCAGTCAGCGAGGAAGGGGGGCCAAAGTAGTCACATTTAAATGCGAATTTGGTGTAGCCCCACGGGGAAGTCAATTAGGGTAATGCACATAGGACTGTATGCATGACTTTACAGTGTCTGTGGAAGGGCAGGCTAATTCACTACTCGGAACGCCTGACCCGCATCTGGCCTGCCCCGATGGAAGCCTCCTTATGACACGCCACCTAGGAATTGCATTTACTCTGCTATTAACATTATTAATTACTTTAATGACAAGAGCACTACCTATGTTTTACCACAGTTCTTTTTTGCAGGAACCGTCGATAACCGGTGAAAATTATCCAGAAGTCCTTTAATGTCCATGGAAGAAACGCACCCTTGCCTGTATTTTTCGCACCGAGTTCTCTCATTTGCAAATACTCAATAAACCGTCGTTTCTAACAATTGTCTGTCAACTTTCCTATGTCATGCGATAGGGTGAACGCTAACCAGGTTGTCCGATTGTGCAATTACGCGGGGTGTTTATCGCTGATTTGCTTTGGCCGAAGCTGGGAGGATTCAGTGACATATGTAATCGTACTGCGATATCCGCCAGTTTAGAATGAGTGCACTCGTGAGTTCAAAACGGAGACCAAAAAGGGGTGGAGGAAGAATGGAATATAGGGGCACCGCCACGCATTGTTTTCGGATGGTGTGCCCAGACCTGGCTGTGGTGTCGAAAACCATGCATTAGCCACGCCAATTGGTCACGCATGGCCGCCTCATAGCGACCTCTCGTCGCGGCGGCAAGGCGTAGCCAGCCGAGGCTGGTGCTGACAGGGGAGGTGTGTGTTGTTATCCTGGGATGTTGCTTTGTTCTCAGAGTTCGCTTTGGTTTGTCTTTTTCTCGCCTAATAGACTGACATCAAACTGTGTCTAGTTCCTTGGACGAACCATCACCAATTCCAGCGTGTAGTATGGCTAAATTAGTCGTGGTTGCATATGTTGTTCCTTATTCTGAATTGCTGAATTCGTCGGCTTTTTCTCTTCACGCAAGTGGTGAGTAAGATTCCTTAACTTTTGTGCCTCTATTTTTAGAATTTTTAACCCCTCCTCCATTTTCGAAAATTTATGAATAAGTCCTAAACATGCGGTACAGACTTCATCGTCGTATGTGACATCCCCCAACGTCACTAGACATTTTGCCCTTTTGACGGACATTGATCTGAGAGCAGGAAATCTAACAATGAAGTCATTAATATCATGTGTAATACATGATTTATCATTTGTTTTGACTAGGCTGACGCGAGTCGCTGACATAGTGGTAGTGACGGCTTTCTGGCAGATCGACTGCCCGATATGAGGTAAGCGACTCAGCCTTTCAAAGATTTTGGAGAATTCTCAATGCTGTTGCAGAGAGGCGACTGGACGAATCTAGGCTATCCCGCACAAGTCCTCGTAGGAGTTTGCAGGGATGGATCTGTCGCAAAGACGAATCGGATTCTTAATACTCACTAGACTTGAGGACACCCAGTAGACAGAAATTCCGATAAAAGTGATATCCCCCGAGGTCGCAAATTTCAAACCAATTAAAAACTGCGCTGTCAGCAGGCAAAGCTGGGTGTGCGTAAGTTTTCCTTCCCCGTCAGTGTGGTCAACCATGGAATGTCTTGCCGGCAGATATTGAGATACGGGCAACGAGGGAAAGTTTTAAAAGTAACATTGACATATTTGTGTACCGAAATGAACTAGAGCGGCGACAGACCGGTTCAAACCCTGAGACTCATACACAATTCGTCACACTATCGTGGGCCCATTTGAGATATTTCAGCATACATGTTTCCTTTATGCACTGCACCCAATCTTACGTTGCAAATAGGGTACTTAAAGACTCACGCATATTTTCCTCAGTAAACTGAACTGAACTGAATATATGTTTCGAACGCTCGATTAAGAAGCTCTTTGTCAAAGTTAAGGAAGAATGTTCTGATTTCTCCCAGGATACACATAGCCTTCTTTGTTATCTTGGCCTATTGAAACTAAGGTTTGAGAGAAGGCGTCATCCATACACCTCGGTTCCTCAACTTGTTTACTGGCTTGACCTTGGGACTTCCGATGAAACACTGATATTCAAACTTCATCATCTTTCTGCGACTAGACCGCAGACTAGATCGGATGACTTGATATTTGCATCTCCCTCTTTATTCCTGGACTAGCCTTCTCCCCACCCCCGGCGTGTGCTTTCCCAATCTGCTTCACAGCATACCATCTGCTCTCTTAGGTTCACTGAAAAACATTTCATGTACCAGTCTAACTCTAATGCCATCTACGTCGCTTAATAATTCTAGCATCTTCTTCTGTGTTTGCTTGCTTTGGTTCGACCACTGGTATCTTAAAGTAGACCATCTTCAATTCTTCTGTATTATTTATTGCTAGCCCACTTGTTTAAGTACGTCAGTGTTTCGGTCCTATATATTGGATTGTGGCGCACTTCTGGTTGATTGTTAGTTGTGAGTAGTGCCGGGGCGTCCACCCACAAAAGGTTATTGCAAATACAGTGGTGCATTCGAAAGAGCATTTTTTTGTTGTCGCTGCCGCCATAGTCTAGTGTTCTTTGTACTCTTCTTTTGAATATTTTAGTCGATGCTTTCCTTAGTTGAAGATTTATCGACAGAGACATTCGGTTTTTTTGCGATGGTAGCCTGAGAATTAGTTCCGTTTTACCACACGGTTGGGTGACTTCACGTGCCCATTAAATCGTTTCTCCATAGCATTTCCGGTAACTATCAGTAGGAAATGCGACTTGGTCCGCCGGCCTGGGCACATGAATGATTCAGCTAGTGTTCTCGTATGTGAAATTTGTAGTTAGCCTTCTTTTGGGTGTACTACGTTATGCCGGATCTTCGCCTCTTCCTAATCATTAGGAGGCTCCGACCCATTCTCAGACATCTACAATTTTCATCTTGCAGCATGAATTCATGAAAGAACGTTTGCCATTTTGTACCTTTACTCGGAGGCGGTTTTTACCGAAGCGCCCTGTTTATTTCGTGCGACGGGGTTTATGTTAGTGTTATGCACTGGATACCCATTTTAAGCTCGTTAAGTGATGCGCGCCCCACCGATTTTCCGTTCGCCAATCTCGGACGAGGACGGTAAAGGTGTTAGTGGAAACCCACCATGACCAAAAGTAAATCGTTAAAGCTTTGTTCCGGGAGTCTGTGACTCCGCTTTGGCGCAGTATCAAGACTAACTGTTCGTTCTGTATCCTGTTTAGAACAAAAATGCATTTTGAATTTTAAAAGACTATTGAAATCGTTTCTGCTCGGCTCTAGAGTTACTTGTGTTCACCAAAGTCGTGGTCAGAAGCAGCTCCACGGTCGCTCTGGTGCGGTATTACACTTGTTCATTTCTCGTACTTGCTATCGATCAGCGACCAAAGCTTGCCACTTGCTATCCTTTTCGTCAGCAGAGCTACTTTGCCATTCTTCATCGCGTGCACCGTGAAGTGCGACTTACGGCATCATAATATTTTCTTTTAACAGGCAAAATATGTCGAAATGCGATCCGTTCCGCTCAAAAAACGAATTCAAAGTCAAGAAGCAGAAACGTTCCCAAGGTTCGTCCCATTACAGACCAAAGGCGCCGACTGAATTAACCCCGCTACCCCTTCTCAAGGGTATATCCGCTTGCATTATAATTTGAAATATCAGATGCACCACCGAATGAACAACAGGATCTTTTCATCAAAAAATTGCAGCAGTGCTGTGTTGTTTTTGACTTTTCGGACTCTCTATCTGACATTCACAGCAAAGAAATAAAGCGTTCCTGTTTAAATGAGCTTGTGGAATATGTTACAGTATCTCGAGGTGTATTGAATGAAAATACTTATCAAGACATCATCCGAATGGTATGTGTGCCAGTCACTTCTAATTAGGTCACGGAAATTCAGATCGCGTGTAATATTTTCCGCACCCTCCCTCCTTCAGACAATCCGGATTTCGATCCTGAGGAAGACGACCCAGTTCTAGACTCTGCTTGGCCCCATCTTCTGGTAACTCGCGAGTTTTTCCGCTCAGTTACAATATTCAGTTCGTTTATGAATTCTTCCTGCACGTCCTTGAATCATCAGAATTCCAGCCAACGATTGCCAAAAAATATATTGATCACAAGTTTGTCCTGCAGGTACTTTTGCCAATGATAATTTTTATTGGTTGTATCAGCTGTTAGAGCTGTTCGATAGCGAAGACCCTCGTGAGCGCGATTTGCTCAAAACAGTTGTTCACCGTATTTACGGCAAATTCCTTGGCCTACGATCTTTTATTCGGAAACAAATAAATAATATTTTTTTGCGGTGAGTACAGTAATCTCATTTCTTGACACCGCATTTAGATTTATATACGAAACAGAACAGTTTAATGGTGTCGGGGAGTTGCTTGAAATTTTGGGTAGCATAATAAACGGCTTTGCCTTGCCTTTGAAATCTGAACACACCCGATTCTTAATCAAGGTGCTTATCCCCCTTCATAAGGCCAGGTCTCTGGGTATGTTTCACGCCCAGGTACGTTCACCATTGCATTCACACTTGCTCTACGAAATGTCATGTCTTCTGTTTCATGCGGTCTACTTTGTATATTTCTTATTAGTTGCGTAGGAATCGTGTTTAAGATTGCTGTATCCAAAGTTCTGTCACTGCCTCTGTAGCTTCTGTTTGTGCCTTTTTAGTGTGGGTTTGCCTGTAACCCTCTCGAAATTGGCACTGACGGCTTACTGAATATGACCTAGTTATAGTATGTGCGTTCCTCTTTCAGTAACCACTCCTGTGATTGAAGACTATTTCGACAGTACTTTAGTGTCTCTTGATGTTTCTTTTGGATTTTCGTTTACCTTCAATAATTATTGCCTGTTTTTTAAAGTCGTCTGACTTGTGAACCACACGTAGCGTATCTGTGTGCAAAGTGCTTAGTAAACTTGCTGCCCCCTTTTTGTGGAGTTTGTAGCAGAATACACTTTACATAGCAGTGTTATACTTGATTAAGAATTGCTAGTAACTTTCAAGACATCAGGCTTAGTGAAAGGTTTTGTTTTTCGACGCCCTCTCAATTTCTCTGAAACTTGAATTGCGTGTTCGCACCTACGCTTTTAATAATATAAAACCCTCTTTTTCAAGCTGGCTTATTGCGTCGTCCAGTTCCTTGAAAAGGATTACAGCCTGACAGAAGAAGTTGTTAAAGGACTTCTTAAGTTCTGGCCAAAGACGTATTCTCAGAAGGAGGTCATGTTCCTTGGAGAGATCGAGGAAATTCTGGACATAATCGATCCAAATCAGTTTAAGAAGATTATGGTGCCGCTTTTCCGACAAATAGCAAAATCTGTCTCAAGTTCTCATTTTCAGGTAATGCGATCTTGTCTTGTATATACACTCTTTGTCTTCCAGAAACTGTGTCCGAAGTTACTGACGTTTTGAGCAATAATCCCCCTCTCGATCATTACTGTTAATCTAGGTTCGTGGCTGTTCACTCTTGTTCATCACTAACCTCACCTCTGTGACCTGAATAGGACGCAGTAGAAAATTAGGAACAGTTTATTGCAGCCATGTCTTGGAAGTGCAGTAAAGGACACGAATGACACTACTACATGCGGAAATAGGAAGTCTTCAATGTAGTCGCAAGAACCCTTCAAATTGTTTCTCACTCGTCCATTATTTTGACTTTTTTGCCAATTCGACAAACTGACTATCAGTTGTGTCTTTTAAAAGGTATGCATAAGCCTTGTTATATTGTTTTTGCCCGTTGTCTTAGGCAATGTCTTTCACCAATGACAGGGCTACTAAAGTGCCGACGGCTTGTCAGGCTGATTACTGCATAAAATGTCAGAGTTAGACGACTGCACTTAGACACAGTACTCACGACTGACCTTTAAGTAAGACCTTGTTGCCTTCGCTCACAAAGTCCATTTTCACCAAACGGATCACGAAATGTAATATATGCCAAGTCCCTGGATTTTCGAGAACTACAAGCGTATCTATGTAAGCTGTATGGTGCTGTGAATCGGAAAAATGGAGTCTACTGTATTGGAAAAGCCAGCTGTCAGTCGACGCACTCGGGTATGTGTCTCACCGCCCAGCGTAATGACTACAGTTTAGCGGGACCCATCCCAGTATAATCAGTACGAGGACGACACCAATTTTGACAAGATGCTTTCTGGAAACAGCTAATGTCTAAAACAACCTTTATTTCACAACCCGAAGAAACGATCTTACTGCCTTGTTTCGACGGACGCCCTAAGCTTTCACACCAGCCAGTACTTAATCGTTTGGTAACTAAGACATGATTTGCGGATCTATTCACAAGCATGCCACATACATTACTCATCAAGAGTCGTACAAAAGCAAGCTTTTTGGGTGGTTCGAAGTACACAACCCTCGCGGTTGGTGTCACAACACTTGATTTGGGGATTTACCTTACGCATATGTCAAAGGCAGTTTGCTTTTACATGCTTCGTTGATTAGAACAGGAATAGTGTCTTATTAGTGGCAGGCTTGTTTCTGGTCAGTACCGTTAATTTAGACTAGTTGTAATGCAATCAACATTAACTAGGGACTGCTAGATTATGGTAATATACCGTCCACTGAATTCAATTAAAATTTGCAGATTAGCCTTGTCTGCAAGGAATTCCAACAATTTTTAGCTCTAGTCTTGACTGCCGATTCTTCTAAATCTTCCCGCGGAAAAGTTGGACAGAAGGCTTGAATCTTAATCCACTGTTAGAAAGTGGAGCGGCGCGCGAATCCACTTTCAAGACTCATTGGTTTTCAATGTGCGACCTGCAGCCACTGCGTAGTTTGTAGTCAAACGCATACCCAGTCGGAGTTATTCTTCTTATGTTGAGTCGTTGTAGTCCTGCATACAATTTCTCGTTGACTGAAACGAAGGTTGGCTGACGGCTAAACCTGGCTATTTTGCGAGCACCCCGTTTTATAGTCCAAAGTTACCTGTCCCATGTCAAGACGCGTCACTTGACAACTTTTTAAATGTGTTTGATTTATTCTTGCCAATTTATGGGATCATCAAAGCCTGCCATGGAAAAGCCTGGCAACAGGTCGTTTTGCGAAGTCATGTTCCCCCGCTCTCGTGCCAGCCCCTATTGCGATTTTAACGTACTTTTGCATAGTTATTCGCTTAGGACGTCGTTTTTATGCTCTTCTGGACCACCTCACATTCAGATCCCCTGGTCTTACTCCACGCCCTGCGAAGGTAGACAGAGTTAACACAGCCAATATGACGGCCACATTCCCACTCTTTATTAGACATCATGCCGTGTTCCATGTGGCGCATTTGCGTTAATGCAACTCATGGCTTCCTTTGAAAACTTGTCCTTCAGCCATCAGAAAGACATGACCGACAGAATAGGGTATCAGGAGATTAAGTAAAGAAGCAGTTTGCCTTCTGACGGCCATGAACCACGTACCTCCCGATTATACAAAGCGCTCTAACTACTGAACTACAGCCTTCAAATCCGAGTTGTGTGAATTAGCCGGTTTTTTAGTTTTTTTTGGCTGCAATTGATGTTGCTGTTTTTCTTTCAATACAAATACTACTCCAAAAAGCCTATGTTGTGCTTAATCAGTCACAGGTACCTTGAAATCGTCTGAAATGGTGAAAATGGCAAGTCAGCCAACAGATTAAGTAGCTGGGAGACTCGAACAACTGGAAAACAGATAGCTTCTGCAGTTGAAATCTGCTACAACTTCGGGGAACTTACCACTATCCCTGTCTGCGACTTCCTGTAGTTACTCTGTTTCGAAAGCCGAGTTTCGTTTTTGCATAAATTTTCAAGTCATCCAACAAACATAACTCCAACATGTGTACTTTGTTTGCCTGTAGCTTGGCCGCTTTGCTGTTTGTGTGCTTTGATTTTTGGCTCTTCAGTCGGGGGCTGATTTTCAACAATAAACTAAGATTAATGGGGATTGCTTTTGCCGGTTTCCTGCTCGCGAAGGTCGAAATGCCTGCTCCTTCGCGTAGTTTTTGTTGTGAAGTCCTTGTTTTAAACGTCTTTTTACCCCTAACAAGGGCAGAATGATATCTCAAGCAGCATCCTACCCTTTCTGTTATTGCTTCTCCATTAACTCCATGATAAGTTTATTTATGGTAGAACGACGCTCACCGATCGTTTTTACAAAACTCACTCCTTCCGGGCTCTCTCGAGTCCAACCAGCAGCCTCGGGTGTCCCACACTTCGGGCTTGGGTATGACTGGCTGACGACGGCTAACAAGCCAGAAATGACCATTCCAGTCTCCCTTGTCTTTGTTGGTAACACCAGGTTTATTTATGTTAAGCGGTGATTATTAAATAGAAACTCGGAACCCAGAAGTCCCTTCTTGAACATAACTAGATAATTAACAGTTGATTAACTAGTGGAGTTTCCTACCTTCCCTCGTCTTCTGGGCCAGAAATGCTTCCAAGTTATGCGTTGTAACATCCTGAAACTCGAACTAAGTAGTTGTTGAGCTCCTACGGTGTAGGTCATTCTGGTTGCAAAGTTTCAGCTATGTAGTGCTGTTTGGGTGTATTTAAGTCCCAGAAACAGCTGCCTGCACACTTTAAGTCATGGTTTGGCAAAATTGTGGTGGTCTTCATAAACGTGCCTCGACGGTTGGACTCTTTGGGGCTGCCTATTGTCAATTCACTGATCTGTAACTTGCAGGAGCTTTCAATGCAACCTTCTTTGTAATCATTCAACTGTCATGGTATCCCTTATAAATCTGCACACCTTCACGTGACTGAACACCTAGGTTTTCACCACTTGTTCTTTTGCATACACACCCCTGTACGACTAGACTTGCAACTGACAAGCACCGTGGTATTTTAACTGGCAAATCCATGTTGCGCCACAGCAAGGCCATTCAGACATTTTGCGGCCTAGTATTACGTAGGCGCAACAGTCCACTTTCTGACGTATTAACCCGCAAATTGATTAAATTAATTAGGCCAAAATAATTGACTTATGCAATCTTAAAGAAAACGTCGTAAAGAACTTAGCGAAATTCTGGAAAATGTCGTTAAATACATGACTGAGTTGTCTATAAATCAAATAACGCACTCCCATCCAAAATGTTATTTAGGGTCGGGAACTACTTAGTCAGGATTGTGTCCTTGATATTGAGTACTGAAACGTGCTTCCGTTCTACGGACAAGGTACTTGGGGTGTGACAGCGCCTACTACAGTGTGAATGGTGGCCGTCTATCTGAAGTTCCAGACTCGCACGCTTACCTGTAGGAAGTCGCGATCTCTGGTCAGCTTTTTTCCCCCACTATAGCAGCTTTGCTCACAAAGATGTACTTCGCCGTGGTACTAGACCTAAACGGGTCCAGTTCCTTTGGCACGCACTACTTAAAAGCGCTGAGGTCGCGTCAACAACCCGTCCGATTTAGTCTACAGTTGGTTTGACTCGGACTTGCCAAGCCAGCTATTCGTTCATGCCCATTCCATGGCGTCTTGGCTGTCTCAAGATTGAAAAATGGAGATTTTTGAAGGAGTGCGGTAAATGCCGCCCGAGCCTGTTTCACCATAAATATTCGCTCGCAGGTCACCGTTGCACCTCGGGCCATCGGTGGTTCTCGTCGCCTGTGATGGACAAACAAAATACCACTGTGGCGGTCACCGGATTCTTCCAATAGGCCAGATGTAACCATCGTCCTATCAGAATGCGTACGAGGCATTTATTGTTTAGCCTCCAAGCACTGACCACCTGCCACAACCAAAAGGACACCGTCAATGCCTCTGTCGTATTTATATAAACTCTCTTATCTTAGTCAGAGCTATGTTCTTTCAGACACAGGTAGATCAGCAAACTCGCGATCTTATCTGCTCGTCTTTGTTTGCGACTGGCATAATAAATGCTGAACAGGCTCCCCTTGCGACCTCCAAATTGACAGCGCTGGTTTGAAATTCGACACCAAAAATCTTTTACCAAAATTTTTTGCCACGAACATGCTTGCACCGTTGTTGCACACGGCTACTGACAGAATTCGAGCGACTGGTCAGCTTCCACTCAGACTGACTGGGTCATAATCGTGTAGAGGATACGCATTTGGACGCGTGAAGGCATGCTTTTGCCAAATCTGCGAAGCCTCCTGTTCACGTCACGTTCTAGCAAGCACTTATGCACTTCCTTTGACCGCACACGGAAAGGCCTTGCATTGGCGGGTTAAATGTCCTAAAATTACAGTATTTCAGTCCTGAAGATGTCAGTCCGATCTCACTGTGTAGCTCGAAATAAGGGACCAACAGCAAGCAGTCGTTGCTGAGGTCAGTAGCCCGCCAAGCAGCTAGGTCTATTCACAAAACCGTAGTGTTGCTTGCCCAGAACTTAAGATTAAGTTTCTCAATTATTATTTCTTCCACCGCTTCCACCAAGTAATCAAGAACAAACGGCCAGCGTTGACGACACTTAACATTCCGCCAAATTGTCCGCGATGTTAACAGCCAACTTCTCGTTCTGGCGACCATTAACGATATAAATGACAATCTTTTCGTTGACGTGAACGCCCTTGACAGCCAGATTTTGACGTCAAGCCTGCTTTTTTGCCTGCACAACTTATGAAGTATATCGTGTCGGTCCCTCTTCAGGAGGAAATGATCACTGTAAGGCGAAGGCTGCACAGTAACGGAACGTTCGCGACTGATGTCGGGGATCCTTGTACTGGTTCTGTATATTCCTGTCTCTGAACGAACGTGGACAGGCGACATCAAACCGAGCAAATCTGGCTCGGCCAGTATTATGTGCGTCGTAAATAAAGGGAGACCGGGTTAAATGTAACACTCACCGCAGCATGTGTAATCAACATCCCACGAGGTTCCTTACTGCCTTGATTCACTGACGGTTCCGGTGTGCGCGTGCTGCCAGATAAGACGCACCAAGCCAAATTCAGCTTCTTTCGTGACTGCTAACCACCTTGCACTTCGACACGCCTTCAAACTGCGTTGCATACGACAACAGTCATTTGTTTCATAATTTCCTTTGCGACCTTTGACTCTGTTCGTCCAAAATGCATGCGACAGATAGTAGAGATAAACGGCTAATGTGATCAGGACATACCGTCTAACCTGTCCGATTTTTTACCGACTGATATATGATCGGCTATTCGGGACGAACGCATTTTCCATTCTGTAGGGACTACATCATTGAAGTCCTTGTCCCTCTTCAGGCGTCGGACTGGCACCTGGATACCAGCTGCCCAATCTCGATTGCACGGGCGCGATGTATTTGGTCACGACGGCATACAGACTATTCCCCTACGTAAATGAGATCGCCGAATTAATTGGTTTATCCGCCAATACTGTGTCAATGATTTTCTACCCGCCTCCTCCTAGATGTTGTTATTTTGGATTGTCAGCATGTTGGTAAATAAAGCGGCTATTGACGACGTCTAACAAGTGCGTACTGCCTGCAGAGTGGCTAATATCACGTCCCCCGTCCTCCACACACTTGCATGCGCAAGATGGGTCATTGATGAATTTCGCGAAAAGTTTATTCCTCATCAATGGCTAACGCTTCACTGTCAGGGCTTTCTCGAGAAAAAATTTGATTGGTGTCTTAGCCGAGACCGATGAAGATTTTGTAGAAGTTGAAACCCTTATCGACGGTTGCCAATGGAGCGTTGCCCACTTCGTCATCTGTGGGTGTCGGATCGTCTTCAGTTAGCCTAACAAAACCTCTTACCTCTGGGCTCATCGACTGGTGACGTCAGCATGGCCCATATCCCAGAAAAAATGCGTTAGATGAGCGTTGCCGTGCTATTGCTCCATTTGGTCAAATTACGGTGTGCCACTTCGGATTCGAAAGTGTCTTAACCCTAGAAAAATCAGTTAAGGGGACCATACTTTGCCCTGGTGACAACACAAATGCTTTCTGAAGTCGGTGTTTTGCTAAAGTTCCACTTGCATGTGTATATATCCTTTTCTCTAGGTTGCCGAGCGCGCCTTATACTACTGGAACAATGAGTATCTCGTGTCCCTTATTGAAGAGAACAACGAAGTCCTGCTACCAATCCTTTTCCCTTCCTTTTACCGCATTTCTCGTGAGCACTGGAATCAGACCATTGTTGCTCTAGTTTACAACGTTCTAAAGACTTTCATGGAGATGAATCCGGTGCTGTTTGATGAACTTACAAAGAACTACAAAGCAGAGCGACAAAAGTAAGTGCACCTCTTTGTTTCTGTCTGAAATTCTGTCGTTCTTTGGATGCTTTCGAGTTCCAATAAGACGCATATTACGCGCCTGCGTATCAGAATCGAGTGAAACCAAACAATTTTCTATGCATAACTGGAGATACTTCACCTCCCTGTTTTTGAGAAACGAAGATAGCTGTCCGTGTTTATGCGTTTGTAGCTACGACATGCAAGCTCTATAAGCGACATGCTTTGTCCTGTTACATTGAAGATCACGCGTCTGGTCAAAAAAGAATTCTACCACATAATAAACACCTTCAAGACACTGAAGGAGGAGTTAAATTCTCTGGAACAATCCGAAGTCCTTACTTTATTTATTGAATTCGGCGCCCCGGTTTGATCGTTGCGTGGCACACCCATCTGAGGTATCTGCTTATGTCGAGTTTCCTGTAATTTGTCCCCCATGTGCAAAAGTGTGGCTTACTCAATAATTTGCTCACTACATATTTATGAGCATCTTAATCAGTTTTCCGTCATTTACGCCGACAGGTCCTAACAACTCTTACTGCATATTTCAGAGTTTCATATAATAAGACGTCTATTTCGTTACAATGTTTTTGCTTGGGGGTTTGAAGCGTTGCTGGCTTATAGATGTACAGTCGATCTGTGGGCACTCCGTTAAATCCAGTGGACACGCCGGCCAATGCAAAATCTTATTTTGGGATTATGTGATTAAAGAAAATGTCCCCTCGCACCGTCCTGTTAGAACCACATGCTTGCAGGGCTAGCCTATTCAGCCTCGGCTTGATAGCAGCTGCTATTGACTTGATTAGCTAAAGTGACGTGGATAGACAAGGCCAGATGGCTATGCCTGGACTTGGTCAACAGCATTTAGCACAATCGGTCTCCTGCCTCAGAAGGTCAGACCTGTGTTTGGGATCGCCGTTAATCGTGACTTAGTGGTAAAGTCAGTGTTCTTCAGCATTTTTTGTTTGCCGCAATCCCGATTGTGATTACAATTGCACATTTAAAAAGCAGTCCGTACGCAGCCGTCCAACCAACTTCTAAATTTGGGTAACATTTAAAACTAAGGACACTTTAGTGAGGCCCACGGACCACCATACGAAGTAAACCTCGCTTCTTTGACCCCAGTCCAAACGAAGCGCCAGAAGTTCTTCCCACCCCACTACATTCGGACAATATTTCCATTTTACTCATGCTTCTGCACTGTAGATAATTAAAGTCACAGTGTCAGGATTATGTCCGTTTGCGTTACGATCCCGGAGAAGAAAGTGCTCTGTCCACCGAATTCCAAGGGTTTAAGGTTTTACATGGCTGCTATGTTGTCGGTCTTTTTGCTAACAAGGGGAGGACTGTTTTGCGAATATGCAGATGCGGATTCCGTCCAGCGATCGGGTAAATCAGTTGACCCTACTGCCATTTAACTGGGTACCACTGACCACAGCCTCCAGAGCATGCGTAGGTTGCCCAAGCAACAAAATGCCTGACTCAAATGGTTGGTCCATTGCCTCGGGTTCAAATTTCTGGTCTTTCCACCCAGGCAGTGGGGATGGCAAATATGGCGACAAATGTGCTGGTAGTGGCCACTCCAGTCTGTGTTTTCTCTGTCTTTCACACGTCGCGGTTGACCCGAAGCAATCATCGGCCGATGTAAAGTGGTGTCCTTGATGTTGCAAGATATCGAAAGGGCAGAATCCACGCCATCGGAGAACTCTTTCCCTCTGTCAAATTCGAACTGTCACACTTCAAATTACCGTTGATTACTGCCACATCTACATTAGATGACGTGTTTTGCGAAGTATGCGTTAATTCACATAAAATTGAGGCATACCCACATGGATCGACCAAAAGTCGCAACCATCAGTGGATGATATCCTGTTAAGTTAGAAAAGCACCAAAAGGAGTGTTACGTTGGCTAAAAGTCGGAAATGCTAAGAAGTTGAATATTCGTGTCAAATGAGCAAAGTTAATTTGCAAAAGTACATAAAGTCTTTCCACGCAAAGAACTGAGCAGATAAAACAGTATACGCTTCATAATGTCTGGGATGACCTTTCTCGGATAGTTTTCCATGTAAGTATCCCTCAAGAGTTAGTGCAATATGCAGCATGGCAGCTAGTCAACTGCCTGCTGCTTGACTATGTGTTACAAAACGGCGTTACGAGAATCTGTCAATTTTTCTGTTTTTGCGTTGTTCGAGGTGCAATTGGCTGCGGTTTCCGCTTGATTTCGCGGATAAGGACGCCTGAGGAATAAAAGGCTATGTGCCGTAAGGTCATCAGTGACAGATACGATTATAAACAAAATTGCCTGTGTATCAAGAGGACTTTTTTGCACAAGACTTACTGTGCTCCCTCTGGCGACGGTGGAGTCCGACGAGTTTCTTGGTATCTCTCAGATGTCAGCAAGTACCCTGCTGTTTTCCGCTTTCTCAATCCTCTGTCCGAATTGATAGGTTCTGCGGTTTGTGCTCATTAGAACCTTCAAAATAAGACAGTTTCTGAAAGATTTTGCCTAAATAGAAAGTTTTCAAACATTATTTTTATCCAGACAATGGTTTGGATCATATTATGTAGACTGACGCAAGCACGACACCTAATCCTCTAATGTGACTTCGACAACCAAAACTTGCGTTGAACATGTCCTTGACCTGTTGAAGAACTCCAATAAGTAATCTCCTAAAAACGCTCTTTACTATGGTATATGCTGATAAGTGTTCGCGTCATTTATCTTTTTTCGAAGCAAAGTCGGGGAACAATGAAACATTTTGCTAACCTATGCATTACACGACAGATATTTACAATATTTCTGCCGCAAATAACGAAACAGCTTTTCGTTAGAACCCCTTTCGTCACAGGCATACTTCTAGGCTCTAGCACACGATCTTTAAACATCATATAGAGTGGGCACATAGATAGTAAAGTTTGTTTCAAACGGCCAACGTAGTGCCCGTTCCGTATTTGCGAACACTAGGCCACGCAACAGGTGTCTTAGCGTATGCTCAACAGTTAAATGACCGCTTAATGATAGGCTTTCTCGCGTTAGCACGTGGAATATCTGCACATGTCTGGAAATTACGTTTTTTCAGAACAAAAGTTTTCCTGTGGCGTTATCGCGGTATTTTAGGGCTCAGAAGTACACAGCTTTACAAACTCGAGCTGTGGAGAAAAACCTGTTTCTCTGAAAGTAGTGTGTTTATTCACATCTTGCCGCACCTGATCTACGCGGACTGAAAAATGGAATTGCGGCGGGGGGTTTGATAAATCTCTATAGCCTAGATTAATGTCTATTAGAAACATGCACCAATACGCAGACGTAATCTAAAACCGCTATTGACTTTGAAAATCGCCTGATTATAAGATAGCCTTGATTTCCACTCAAAATCGTAAATTCTTCGGTTAACAGAAACATTCTGTGCGAGAAAAAGACTTTCGGAACGCGTTAGGAGAACAAGTAAAATACACATCGTTCAGGCTGCCCTAAACTGATCATCTGGATTACGGTCATCAAGTTTCATAAACTGCCTCACCTACTGTAAGGTACCAGCGGTCGCTGCCTGCTGTACGAACTTTGAGTCCGTCTGTTTGGGTGTATCTCGAATTCTTAAGTCTACGTACTAGTCCAAGTGCATCTTCTGCGATGACCTTGAAAATAATTCATTTTTTGATCACCTTGGCTGCTGTTACACTCGTTAGGCCATACCACGCCATATCTCTGCAAAGGTACTCGTGGGCACTGTAATGTGTTCAGTGTAGTCCATGTTCACACTAGACAGACTACAGCGAATAATTTGTCAAAACATGCTGAAGAACCAAGGAAGCCGTGATATACCACTCATTCGGGTTTTTGCCTTTGTTGGATTTAATCACAGCACTTTTCTTGGTATGCCATCGTACAGCATAGTCGATCACAAAAGGGTCCAACGGGTAAGGTAATATGTGGCGGTAGAATCGTACAAAACAAAGGACACTGTGCTGCCGATGTCAACGGCTCTATTCAAAGGCCTGACGAAGCCAGGAGTGCATATCCACACTGGCTTGGCCCTGACCACAAACAGCGTCGACTTCCCCCGTGCGTGTTTGATGGGGAACCACCACCTGACCGTGGTTAACTGCCCAATCCCCGCCCTCCTTTCGCCTGACGCACAGGTTTCTCACACTGATCGAATCAGACTTCAGGCACTTGCATATTCATGTCCTTAAGAGTTGCTCTAAGAGGCATTTTAAAAGTTATCATAGTCAGTCGTGTTAGGAGTTAATTTTTAAGCCACAACTCTAGAGTGCCGTGACAATTCGATCCGTTGTATTCACTGCACACGCGTCAACTTCCTGCTGGTCTCACCGCACTTCACCTAAACAATGCGTTTGTCGTAAATATGGGCCTCGAAAAGCGTGGGTCGTAGAATGACTCTTGTATCCCAGGACAAAGGTGCATGGTCGCTCGTGTACTGGTAATCCCAATTTCCCCACGTATTTGCACTTGTTTTTTTGCAGAGAGCGGCGGAGAGAAAAGGAACGAGATGATCTCTGGAGGAAGCTCGAGCAACTGAACGTTACCGGTGCAGGTGACGACAACAGTGCCCCTGGGCTTTTAGAAAATTCTGTAGACTCGACACCACCAAACAACGACCTTGTGAATTCCTCATCCCCTCTTCAGCAGGTTATGACTACAAAAGTCTGAAAACTCACGTGGACACCTATTTTTAAACTATCTTTTAGTTGCCCAATCACCCAATTGATCTGCTTCTCATCTGGCCTACAGGCCATGCGGTTCAATGGTTGCGTCATTCAAAAACTTGCCTGATGTACGCCTTTGTCACATCGCAGTGTGTGGCTCGATCACTGTACACTAGCATTTTCCTGAGCATATATTTTCTTGGTTTCCGTCCTTCCTCTTCTATAAGCAGTAGTTAACTTTGCTTCCCATCCCAAATGAAACAGTTGGCCCCGTGTTCACGGTCCCGGTTCTCCTGTTGAACACGTCCCCCTATATCCAACTCACTCTTTTTCACCCACTTCCGATCCTGACCTACCTAGGTCAAATTCTTCTGCTGAGACTGTTTCCTCACTGCATAGAATCAGTTCCGTGGTCATGTCGTCGGTGTAATTTGGCCCAGGACAGGAACCAAAAGAGCTCCTCCGTTCTTGCTGCCTAACGAGTCGGGGAGGGAAACGAAAAGGATGTGAATGCACGAAAGCTATTGCTGGCGACTCCTGCTGTACTCCTTCCGTCGGCATCGACTACTATATTTCGCGCCCTTCTCAGGCTCCTCTTCCTGGCTTACCTCGGTCTCCCTCCACCTCCGTTTCTAACTACTCCACCCCCGTATTTCGACCTGCGCTTATACTTTGAACGACTTACGTTTTCATAACTCAGCCGTTGCATGATGCTGTGACGTTTTGATTTGTAATAAGCCCATTTTCTTGTCACCACAGAGACGCCGTCGCCTTTCATCCATACTAGTCTTGTCGCCCTTTTCCCTTATTGACGCTACAGTTCCTTATGCCGTCAACTTGGTTAGATAGCCATCCACCACCAATATCGTCCTCGCGGCGTACCCTGGCGTTGCTGACGCCCGTGCCTGCCTGGCAGTTCAGAATGCGTTCGGCGGAGAAATCACAACGGTTATTGTTTGACAACCTTTCCTACCAGCCGTGCTCCCTAGTACTTGGTCATCTGGCCTCAAAAGCCATAGCACTTGACTTCAAGAAATCTGGGAGTCGGGTTGAAATACAAAGCTCCATCTTAAGCGGATATCATAGGTTGCCCTCGGAGGAGGGGTAGAAATAAATGGGATCACGAGACTAGTTACGCACTTTTTGTGAATACAGCGGACTCTTCACTTTCAGTTCACGATTGGAAGGGGCTTTTTAGGCCGACTGATTACCCAAATATCCTTGATCGCGATTCAGGGACTTTTGCTGGAAGCCATTTTGGTGCGCGGGTCGTTCCTTCATGCTCTCCCGGTGTTCCTTGCCCTCCGCCGAAAAATGCCTCTTTGTCCCACAGCCTGTCCCGTTGCTACTTTACCTTGCGATTAGTGACCGGCTGCTGGATTTTCATCTGGTCCGGTAGGACGATCTTACCATCTGTCACCGGTCCTGGGGCTGCGTGCGGGTGGTTGGTGTGAATGAGCTGCTGAACCCGCTGCGCTAGATGGGCCAATTAGCGAACGCTACCTCGTTGGCGAGTGCCCAGGCTGCCTCTGATCCCCCCAAACGTCTTTCGCTCCACAGTCGATCCCTGTTCTGACGACCATCAGCGCTCATACTATACCGTCGGGACGTGTCGCTAAAATGTTCTCACAGTCCTGTGCACTGGCCACAGGCCGGACTTCGGGTCTTCGGCCAGCCACAACGTGACTCATGAGAGAAAGACCTCAGAACTGAAACTGCATTGCCATTGTGTTGTCCCTACGGTGGTAGTGGGGATGTCAATTGGCATCAGAGCGTTCCGAAAACCCCAGTCTGATAATGCTTCGTATGCTGTGGCCCCATAGAATCCGCACAGATCCCAATTTTATCGTGTCTGCTGTTGGGCATATTTTGAGGAAAAAGTCCATATCAGGGGTCGTTGTCAGTATTAACGTCTGCTAGAACACTTTCGTTAATCACTAGAAAGAGGGGCTTACAATGAAGGTTAATGATCTAAAGATGAGTGGTCGAGGCGTGTGCCAATAAGAGTTCTAAGTTCGGAAGCGATATAGCATTTTACAGCATCTCTAAGCCTGAATGACTGATGGCTTCCTCCTGGGATCGGGTCAGGTTTTGAGCGAAGTCCTCATACACAAGTAGGTGGGAGACCTGAGGGTCAGGCATCACTTTGTTCTTTGGGTGTCGCCTGAATGTTTTGCGGCAACTCGGTGGCGTCCAGGCGGACCCGCCTGCGTATGATTAGGTTTCAGTATTACGGTTCGGTTTTCCACTTACGGCTATGACTAAGGGCTACGGTTACGTTTACGATTTCGGTTAGGGTTAGGGTTGCCGTTAAGGTTAACGTTTAAGGTTGAGTTTAGGGTTAGGGTAAGATCAGGGTTAAGGTCGCCGTCCGCTTCCCCATTCCTGGCTACCAACTGCGATTTAGCCAACCGGTACCCCAATCCTAACCTCAGACGTCAAACGGAAGCCAAATGCGTCGGATGTGATCATGGAACCCCACAAAATAGCCCCAGTAAACAAACCCCTCAGCCACCTGTAATACGCGGCCTGGCTACCAACTGCGATCTAGCCGTGATCTCTTCTGAGTGTTCAAGACCGGGGACCCAAGACAAAACTGAATGCCTACATCTCGTCCTTCAAGCAAGCCGTATTTATTAGCTCTATTTCCGCCTTAATGAGAGAAGGTAATAAGAACGGGCGCAGAAGAAAATATCTGACCCCAGTGCTGGTAACACGTCTGCTCATGTATGCACGGATAGGCTAGGCCGCGAGTGAGACCCTGGCTACCACGACCTTCAGGCCCGGTCCCGAATGGAAATAGAAGGTGGACGTCAGTGGGGAGAATACAGAATAACTAGAGAAGGAGCTGGAGAGAGTTGCCAGCCAGACGAAGGCACGTCCGGCGACGGGGGAGTGGCGTCCCAAGTGCGTGTCAGTGAAAGCGTCTTAAAACAGGTCACGTCTGATTCGGTCTTGAATCTGATTGGCCGGTTGGAAAGTCGAGTGGGCGCATGTCAGACAGGCCTGGTGTGCACGTGCAGACACTCGCGAGAGGCCCGGTGCTGAGACAAACGCTCGGTGTAGGGCCACTACGCACCCACCCACTTATTTCTTGTTGAAAATTCTAGTCAGTGTGCGTTGTGGATTAGGGGATATCGTGGTGCATCAAGGTGCGGGTCTTCGCCGCGTCAGCCACCTACACCCCCTCCCGCCCCCATTATGCTTGGTTCTAGGTTCCGCAAATATTCCCATGTTGCACTTGAAAAGTCAAGTTGGCAAACACGTGTTTTCGGCAATTCTTCGTCAGGCCATGAAGGAATTAAAATGTTTATAGGTGCCTCAAGGGCTATTAAGTCATTAACACTCATCATCCCCACGCAGTCCACATGACCAGGTCGGCGTGTTTTGGTCCTCAGAGCCAGGGAAGGGGGTTAAAAGAGTTTTTGAGCGATGTTCTTGGATTGAGTACACGGAATACCCATCACTGTAATTAGGGATTTGGGCAGCATGTCGTCATCACTTGGGGTTGGCGTTGGCCACGGCAGAGAGAGCGCTTGTGTCAGGGTTTTCTGACAGTATAAGATCGGATTCGCCAGCCGTATAGCCACTGCCTCGGCCATTGCTAATATTCGTTGGCGTAGGCCTTTAGAGAAGCATGTTGGTGTCCGGTAGACAACCCGAAATGCTTCTTTGACATCGACTCGGTGATTCGTATCGATTAAATGTGCGAGAATAGAACTCGAAATCGACCGGATCTCACCTCTGTCTAACCAGGCGGGCATATGTTCACGCACCCTCTTTATCAGGCGTCTCGTTGTGCTGTTCTCTCTCGGTACCGGGTCCGGGTGGGGCGGAAGGGGAGTGTGCGGTAAATGTAGCGCAAGCCTGCAATTACTCTAGGAGAAATCACGCGCAAGTCACCGTCCCTGCTCCCACCCTGCTGTGGGCCACATGATGGACGTCGCCGGTCAGGACGACCGAACTGTAACGTGTGTGTTATCGACTGCACGACGTAATTGTTGTCGCCTCAGCATGGCGTGGATGCTGGGGATTCCAGTGCGTTTCAAGTCTTCCTTGTCCGGGATCTTGTCCTGCCACCTCCGCTTTGTATCCGCCGAGATAACTGAGGTAAAAGTGATTGAGTAGGCCGTAGACTGTCCAGGTCTCCGCGCCATACAGAGGCATCGCCAAGATGGCCGCTTTGTACATCTTTGGTTTTGTGTTGAAGTGGAGACCGGGACGATTCTATATGGAATTCTTCAGCCGGCCGAAGGCTTGGATGGCATTGGAAATCCGGTGAGCCAATTCGTCGAAAATTTTGATTCAGTGTGAGAGTGTATTGCTTAAGTAGGCAAAATTGTCGAAGGTCGTTTGGTCGACAAGATAAAGATTCCCAATCAAAAGTCAGGGAAGACGGTTTGATTTGGACAACCTTTACTGCCTGAGGAAGTACGTACACAAGGGCACTGTAGGCAGTCGTCGCGAGCGCGCTCCGAGCAAGCTGTTGTCTGTGTCCGCCTTCGAGGTGTTGTGCTAGCGCGTGTGTGCGCCCTTCGTTGTCTCCACGTTGCCAGCCAATCAGAGTGGGGACAGCGTTGATTGGCTTCGAGCACTCGCGCATCCCAGCAGCGTCTCGACACGGAGTGTGAGGCGGAGAGGACGGCAGCGTGACAAAGGCGGAGGGTGAGGAGACGCGAACCGCCACAAAATTACCCATAGTGTTCAGATGGGTGCCGTCAACGTGAATGCGAGAAGCACTGTAAGCAGCGTTGGCGGTTGGTGCATAACCACCGTTTTGTCCGTGTTGATGGTTAGCCCGAAGTTGGCGCAACCGAGACGGGGGGGGGATCCATGCTGCACTGTATGTCGTGGAGGGACTCGTCAGGGCCAGCATGCGCTGGCTGTTTGGAAGATGGCCGTCGGTCCTGTAGGCGATGTGGATCCCGGCGTGTATCACGGTAGGCGTCTATCAACATGGCAGAAAATAGGACATTGAAGAGGGCGGGACGAATACATAGCCTT